TTTCGGTTCGCCTGAATTAAACTTTTTCCTTCTGCAGCTGCAGAGTTTTTCAGGAAGCTGACTTGTGAAGGGTCAAGCAGAATGCTTTGCCCCCCCACGCCCCCCCCTTTGTATCTGTGTGCAGGGGTGAGGGAGTTTGCACTGCTGGCTGTGTGACATGCAGCAGGGTGTCTTTTACTTGAGTCTATGCGCAGTCGGTAGGACTGTTTCAATTCTTTCTGAACCATGTCAAGCTCCTCTTTAATTGTTGAGTCAGGGTTTGGACCTCAGCTCTGGCTGCATGCAGCTGGCCTTCTAAGGCCTTAGTTCTGGTGTCTCTCTCATTAAGTTCCACATACGCTGTTTTAAACAGTGACTTTGTGTGAAACAGTTCTCTTTCCAAGTCCTGTCTGATGGCTTTTTCCAGCTGCGCTTGGTGTCCAGCAGCTGTTAGAGCCTCCTGAAGACTGGTGATTTCCTTCTGTTGCACCATTCTGTGAGGTTCTTTGCATCCGTTCTGTGCTTTCTCTCGTTGAGCAGGTGTCAGTTCTCTGCAGAATTCTGTGACTTGCAGTTTCAGCTCATTTACCTCCTGTCTGAGGCCCTTGAGGATGTGGGCCGAGGAGAGGATGATGCTGGTCAGGTCCTGGTGGTTCAGGCTGGGTGTCAGGTGTTCACTTGTGTCGCAGTCTCGCTGTTCCTTTCTTTGCCATTGCAGGTCATTGGCTGCTTTGAGCTGAAGGATGTCCATTACAGTGCTCTGCTAAGTGTCCAGGTGGTCCTGGTGAGCTGGCAGGGCTGGATGTCTGTGGAATGTCTGCGACATACTGGCACACTTGTGGGAACACCAGAGAGAGAAAGGGACAAGACAAATGCAAGTACGTACAGAGGTGTTAAGCTATCTCTATGGGGAACGGCTGTGTAGGCAATGTAAGGTATGAATAGCTGGTGAGAGGCAGCTAGTGAGGTAGGGTGCTATGTTTTTGTGTTCGTGAACACAGAGAGAGTTTGAGTAACTTTGTTGAGGGGGCCGTAAGCAGGGGTCAGCTGATGACCGGGCTATACATGTGGTCAAACTATTACTCAAAGCACTGATGGTTCACGGGTTTGGTCACTATGACAAAACTGAAATAAAATAAGATGAAATCAAAAAAAAAGAAAAGGAAGAAGGAAGATTTCACCTATTTAGTTTTTTTTTTGCTAAGAAATATGGCTAAGCAGGTGTCACTTGTGGGTGATGTATGGAACGATATTCCGGACAATTTTCAAAAGGACTTGCAAATTGTATTTTCAATTGCGTTTTCAATATGTGGACGCATAAATTGTGACATAATCCAAATGCAATTGCAAATCCTGCATTACTGTTTGCATTTTCGCTTTCGCGAATGCACAGCGACTGCCAAATTTCAAATGAAAAAGCAAAGTCCATTTGCAATTGTATTTCCCATGTCTTAGGAGTTATGAGCCTGTCATATTTAAATAGCAATATTAATTACCAGTCTGCTTTTTCACTCTCGCTGCGTCGCGCATGTAACCTGCCAAAACTCAAATGGAATCGCAATTCCTTTTGCATTTGAATTTCCAATGCCTACATGGAAACCTGTCAATCAAGTGTCAGGGGTGGGATTATTTAATTGGGCGTGTTTGTATTGGGAAGTGACGTCACTCACAGTCGACGCACTCGACGGCCGAGAGGGGAAATGCCAGTAATAAGACGATTTTGCGGAATGTTTTGAACAATGGAGGTTATCGGTGAAATTATGGAGGACATTATGACGCTCGCGCAGCAAGTTGATGACAGTTCATACTCTACAGATTTCCTCTTACTCAGAAGCCATTTAGTTTTGGACAGGTTAAATGAGTTTGTGGCCTTGACGAACTGCAACATCAGTAATGTTGCCTTCGCCAACCTAAGTGAAGTGGCCAACAGGCTTTTTGTGAAGGACAGAACAACTAAAGGACCAGGACGTCCTTTGATGGACATACCACTAGAAATGATTGAGTACTACGTGATATGTGGTTACTCATTTGTCCAGCTTGCTCGGATGCTTGGAGTATCTGAGCGAACCATCCGAAGAAGACTGGGACAGCATGGATTAAGGTAAATACAGTTTTCATAAATGTATAAGCAATTGACCCTTCGCAAAAACCTGCCCTCCTTAGTTACTGTTGCTATGTCCGACAAGCCCTGCCACCATGACAAGAACGCCTGTCAATCAAGTGTAAATTGGAATGTTATGCACTGTGCATATAACGAATGCAAGTTCATACAGTATGAAACATATACACTCACTGGCCACTTTATTAGGTACACCTTGCTAGTACCGGGTTGGACCCCCTTTTGCCTTCAAAACTGCCTTAATTCTTCGTGGCATAGATTCAACAAGGTGTTGGAAACATTCCTCAGAGATTGAACAGGTGTACCTAATAAAGTGGCCGGTGAGTGTATATGGCTACTACTTTTGGCACTCCAGACCAAGATTTGTTTTTAAATTATTGTTGTGATCGTGTTATGCTTCGTGTTTATGCTTTTTTATTGCCTTATACAAAAATATATGCTGTTAGTTAATATATCTTATGACCCTTAATGAATTTCTTCTTTTTTTCTACCAAAGGGCTAAAGATATGTACTCCGATGTAAATGATGATGCATTGGACAACGTTGTGGCTGAAATACAAATAAATTACCCAAACGCAGGATACAGGATTATACATGGTCATCTTCGTTCCCAAGGTCTTCATATTCAGAGTAAGAACAAGTTTATAATATTTAGAGTTTACACTTTTAAAAAGAATTTAAGTACCAAAGTGAGTAAATTGAGTTTTGAATAGGCTGACATTTGGTTGTTGCATATTACAGGTTTAGGTTATATTGATTAAATATGCTTAAAAACCAGAATGTGTAGAATTTACTGTTTAATTACAGAATTTAAAAACAGACAATTAAAATTAATAAAAATCCAGTTTTAATTAATGGAGGCTACATTAAATTTTTTTTTTTTCTTGCTTTTCCTTTTAAGCTTCTAGGTTGTGTGAGTCTGTGCGAAGAGTTGGTCCACTGGGGACTCAACTGAGAGCATTATCAATATGTACACGTCATCGCCGTCAATACTCTGTCTCAGGACCCAATGTAATGTGGCACATAGACGGAAACCATAAGTTAATAAGGTATTGGGAGTGAGACATTTTTCAGGATTTTTCCTGACTTTGGGTGGTAGGTCATCCACATCTCCCAAGCGGGTTTAATATATAATTGCATAATCTTAAGTTACCTTAATACAATTTGTGTATACATCAAAAGTGAATAAAGTAGAACCAGAGGCTTAAAAGACTAACATTAATGATATACAAACCTTTCAGTTTTCTCTTTAAAATATTTTGTTTTCATGCTATCTGTAGGAAAAATGATCAGGCCTCCTTTACCTTAACATTTTCCATACGATAACTACTATCATTAATAGTAAACAAGTTGACTCATCTACGTAAGTAAATAAGTATTTTTAATCACAGAGTCGTAACTGTTACAGTCAAAATATGATAATATAGTGCTATTAGTTGTTCAGGGTAAAGTAAAATAATTGCTTCCATAAAGGTTGGTTATGCATTTGTATTTTTTTAATATTCTTTTTAGTTTGATCCCCACCATACTCACAAATTTTTGGTGTGTTTAATGATACAATTTATATTAATTATATTTGTGTTTAATATGTTAACACAATTATTTGAATAAAAACTAACTTGGAAGGGTATTTTGTTGTTGTTGTTGTCTGAATTTTCTCAGGTGATAAATTTCATATGGATGGCCACTGAATTCAGGAAAAAACAAACTGTCATGGGAAGATAAATGTGTAAGGGAAGGAATCGTAAAATTCAAGTTTTTATTTATGTATATGCTCTTTTATTTAGGTGGAGGTTTGTTATTCATGGAGGCATCGACGGCTTTATCCGCTAATTGTTTACCTGAGTGCTGCAACAAACAACCGGGCATCGACAGTTGTTGACAGTTTTATTGGAGCAGTTCAGAAATTTGGACTCCCCTCTCGAGTGCGCTCAGACAAGGGCTTGGAGAACATTGAAGTGGCGCACTTCATGGTGGCACATAGGGGAGAGAACCGCAGCTCACACATAACTGGAAGAAGTGTCCACAATCAAAGGTGCTTTGTGTGAGTGGGAGCAAATGTTAAACCGATTTAATGAAGAAGTTTGAAAATTGTTGTAATGTTGTCTTTGTAGGATTGAAAGACTATGGAGGGATGTCTACGAACAGGTCTTAGGCAAGTTCTACTGCCTGTTCTATGGAATGGAGTCTGAGAGTTTACTGGATCCAGATAATGAGGTGCACCTATACGCACTACACTGGATTTTCCTGCCTCAGTTGCAAAGACATCTTGATCTGTTCCAGGATGCTTGGAATAACCACAAATTAAGGACCACGGGTAGCCAATACCCTCTACAGTTGTGGACAACATTTCAAAATGCTGATGATCCAGACCAGGTAGATCTACCATTTGTAGGAAGTGAAGCCTTATTGTGAAGCCTTATGGCATTTTGTAATGTGATAATATTTGTATTTTTTAAAAATGTAATTTAGCTTTTTTTGTGATGTTGTAAGGTGAGTGAAGACTTTGGAATAGACTGGGAAGGACCATCATGCAGTGTTGAAATGGAGGGAGTTGCAGTCCCACAAGCACAACTGCAGAGAGAGTTGACTGCTGCAGAGATTGATACCTTGCCCAATCCAAATGTTATTTTCACAGAAACAGTGGACGCTTACTGTGAAACGGTGCAACTGTTAACTCATTTATTGGGATAGATGAACTGCTCACCCTAACAATATGCTTGAACAATGGATATCTTAATGGATTTAAACACAATGTCATACATTGTTCTGTGAATTAATTGGAGCTGCTAGATTTCCTTTGTCTATAGATCAATTAATAAAACAAAAAAAATAATTCTAATACTAAGACTATATCTGACTGTTTTCACTGTATTTTCTTAAACTTGAACAATCAGCAAAAACAACAGTTTAAGGACTATTGTGATACCTTCCTTTTAAACTAATCCAAAACTGTTGCTAGACACAGCTGCTTTTAGATCAGAGCTGAAATCATCATAGTGACTGTAATGTAATGGGAGTTTAAGTGTCTCCCTGCAGGTTGAGGCAGTTGGCATTCTGACATCTAATACTTTCACATACAGTTCTTGTGGTAGGCTTGTCCAGCCAACCCAAAATTCAACAAGGTTCTTCAGATCTTGTGGTGTACCTGTTAAAGTACATTTTCACATGAAAGGACATATCTAAGTCTTACAATGAAAGAACCATACAAAAAGCAAAAATAATTAGAAATATAAAATATATATATTTTTTACCTTCTTCAATGTATTGCCGGAAAAAGGATGTGATTTTGCAGCACGTTTCCAGACTGAAGTTCTCCTCATCATCACTGTCAGGGTTTGGCCATATTACTCTTTCTAGGATCATCTAGTATAATGTCACGAGACATTTTTATACAGTAGTTTAGCAACAGGTTTACTGTAAGACTACATCATGGAATTAATGCTACAAAATTATATAGTGTAATACTATGAACACTCTTAAATTTGTAGAATAACAAATTCTTAGAACTTTTAAGGGATATTCACCAAAAAAAAAAAAATTCTTACATTTTGTCTCATGCTGTCTTATATGTATGAGTTTCTTCAGCAGGTCAATACTAAAGTTAAAGGATTTCCATTTTTTTAGGCTCATACAATGCAAGTGAAACACGAACAAGTTAAGTTCCAAAATCCACATAAATTAGGAATAAAATGTATCTACAATACTCCAGTTGTTAAATTAATAACTTCAAAAGTGATATCATAGGTATGGTTAAGAAACATAAATATTCAAGTCCCTTTTTCATATTTAACCCCTTTTGGCACAAGGAGGAAAAAAAAAAACTTAAAACTTCTATGTTGGAAGTTGGAGCTTGAGAATGTTGGGTCAATTCACCTACATTGAGAAGACCTACAGAACTGAGCTATTCTTCAAAAATATTCATTTGTGTTGAGAGAAAAAAAGAAAGAAAGTACATGCATATACAGTACTGGAGGTCAAAAGTCTCTTCTTACCAAGGCTGTGTTTTTTGATCCCCCCACCCCCCATTTTCTATGTGGGTATATTGTAAAATGTAATTTATTCATCTGATCAAAGCTGAATTGCTTCAATTGTCACATGAATGCATATTATGCAGATTTGCTGTTTAAACATTATTTTAAATTGTAACAGTATTTCACAATATTACTACATTACTGTATTTTTTAAATGCAACTTTGTTTAAATGCAAAGTTGCAAAGTTGTAGCAAAACAATTATTAGAAATCTTAATTGTTTATTATTAAGTTTTGACCACCAGTTTATTAACCATGCTTTGTTAATAAAAGTAACTTCAGATTATGCATAATTACATAGAAGGATTTGTAATTTTATCTGTATATCTATTTGGAAATAGTGAATGCACATTGTGGTACAGTACCTGTGCATCAATTGCCAGGGAAGATGATCGTGGGAATAGGACTTCAATAAGAGAAGGTCGTTCCTTAACCATGCGCAATACTCCAGTATCCTTCAGTCCTTTCTTCAACTGTTGCATCTGTTTCTCGCGATGGCCAATGACCTAAGGAAAGTAATTTTTGCTATTTTTTTTATAAATAATTACAAAAATAGTTAAGGAAAAAAAAAAAGATGTTTTAAAAAGGATAAACTTACAGCATGGTGAAGAATGCTTTGGGCTAGCCACAGTCTATTTTCTGCAGTGACCCGAGGCAGATCCCAACTGACAGCTAGGTCATTCACTTTCACACACTCATCATCAGCAAGTGTATTTGGTTTTTGAAGCTGTAGTAAAATTAACATTGACAAAAAGAAAAAAAAAAGAATAGGTAAATTATTCTCATTTTAGCTTACACAAAACATTGGTCAGAGGTAGGTTTAATGTTGTACATACCAGATGGACAATTTCAATGACATCCGTGTCAGGGCAATCTTCGAGTTCAATTATAACGGTCTCATTCATTTGTCCAGTTATTATTCCAAACATAGCAGGACTAAGTCCAGTCAATGAGGGACCACCATTAATAAATGAATGGCCAATCATGCGTCCAACGATGCGGAACAGGTCACTATCCAGCAGAATTCGGGAGGTTGACGGCACCAGATGATCTTCTTGACCGGTGAAAAATAGGGTTTTGCCACAATTGTCTGTAGTTAGAAAATAGAAAATGTTTTAAGCTCATTACAATTTCCATATTTAATCATTATTATTGTTATTTTTTTTACAAATTTTAATCAAAATGAAAAACAGCAAGCATTAAAAGACTGCATTTTGGCTAAACCATCCCTAGCATTATTATGTAACATTTTAAAATATTACAATTACTCACCAAAATCTAGGGCAAACCCAAACTGCACACGAGAAATAACCTGAGATAGGAAGTAGCGTTTCACACCATCTCCAATTGCTGCATCACCTAAAGTAAAGATATCAATAAACATGCAATGTAAAACAAAGTGATGTGCCATACTGACTGCATGTTTCAAATGATAAAATAAAACTATTAATTTTACCCCTGAGTAGAACGAAGAATGGACGAGCCCAGTTGTCAGGCTGTGATTTATAGAATGTAAACATTTATCTTTCTCTTTCCTGTGTACTGCTGCATAGGTTCAGGCCTGCTGTTAGCCCAGAAAGACGTTCAGCCCTTTCCAAAAGCTCCCTTCTGTATAGAAGTGCAGCCCGAAACAAATTTGGCTCAACTTTCCACTCTGAAAGGAAGAAAAAAACAAAAATGTAATTCAAATTTCAACCTGGTAGTCACCATTCACACGACTTCTGATATCGTCATATTGAGTTTTTTTCTAGCTATGGTGCAGTATAGAGATATTGTTGTTCAGATTGCAGGAAAACATTAACTAAATAACCTTCATTGTCACTGTCCCTTCCTTCTCTACTTTGATAAATTTCCTGTCTGAGGTCACTTCCGAAGATTTGCTGTCTGCTGCTGCTGCTTCTCGGGAATTCCTCACTGCTTTCTCTGCTAGGAAAATCCTTGCTGCTGCTTCTGAAGATTTGCTGTTTGCTGCTGCTGCTTCTAGGAAAATCCTCACTGTCGCTTCCGAAGATTTGCTGTCTGCTTCTCGGTAATTCCTCACTGCTGTCTCTACTAGGAAAATCCTCACTGCCGCTTCTGAAGATTTGCTGTCTGCTGCTTCTAGGGAATTCCTCACTGCTGTCTCTAGGAAAATCCTCACTGCTTTTAGAAATTTCATCATTTCTGCCGCTTCTATTAATATCATGTGTGTTGCCAGCACTACTTGATTCCTGCCTGGAACCCTCTCTACCATTTTGCAGTTCCCTGTTCAACCTGCTTACAAAAAAATAAAAATAAATAAAAAACACACACACATGAAATAAGTAAATGACAATAACTGTAGACAAAAGGAAGGTAAAATGAATCAATTCATCAAACTCTACTTATACTTTCAATATTTTTTAACATTCCATTGTTTAGTTAGAAAGTTTTACATGAATCACTTACATTTCACATTGGTCAACATGTTTCTGCATTTCAGCAACAGAAATTTTTTCTTGGCAGTACAAACAGGCTATTTGTGGCCCTTGGCCTGTTTTTCCCTCTGAAAACTTTTCCAAGTATAATAAAAAGCAATTAGACATGGCAAACCTTAACAGACATTATCCATGCTTTATTTATGCAGTTTATCAACCTCTAAGTTAAGATATTTCTGAAGAGGTCTGATGTAAATCATGCCAGCTCCTATGCCAAGTGTACTGTTGCTCAAGTACTCTGCCGAGTATCCTTCATCAGGACAAGGAATTATCTCCAATGATTTTGAGCGGGTAGCACCTCGAGCCTTCAGAAGTTCATAGCCTCCAGCATCTTTGAGCTTTGGAAACTGTTTATACAGGTAATCCGTAAACTCTGCTGGCTGACAATATTTATCTGGAAGACAAACAAAATGTGTACAGCATGTAAAGTAGTTATAAATTAAAAGTAACATGCATCACTGTCTTGTAAAACTACAAATTATTTAAAAGCTGGTGAATATAAATTCTGCATTGACATATATAATAAAAACATTTTATTTCACAATGTTACCAAGGTACCTGGGGAAATTATTTTTTTTTCCCCCCAGGCCAGCTCTCTCTAGTTTAAGCTTGTCAGATGCATTTGGAGCCTCGCAGTCTCTTCTTTTAGCTAAGCAGAAGAACCTGTGGGTATATGTTACTGTCTTGGACTTCTTTGCTGGCACAGCTGAAACACATGACCTCCTCCGTATACCCCCAAGTGTGTATGGGGCAAACAACCTGCTCACTTCACTACGTGCACCTTGAAAACAATTTAAAGCAAGAAATTTTTTTTATATTTGTACAGTAAATATTTTGCAATAATTTAAATAATAATTTATTTTAAATGACCTAGTTGTCAAACAGTCTGATTAAACATGTTTTCAGTTCTGTTTCCAGCGACCCGTTTCGGTGCAGGTCTCTTGCGGACTGAGGGAGGAAATACGACAGGGGTGTCCAAACTCGGTCCTGGAGGGCCGGTGTCCTGCAGAGATTGCCTCCAACCCCAATCAGACACACCTGAACCAGCTATTCAAGGTCTTACTAGGCATACTAGAAACTTCCAGGCAGGGGTGTTGAGGCAAGCTGGATCTAAACTCTGCAGGATACCAGCCAGAACAGAGTTTAGACACCCCTATAATATGATAATACAGGACAGTCCGTCAGCGGTCGTGAGCAGGGCCTGAGCAGAAAATCAAAACAGCTTGATAATCGAGACTGTTTAGGTAACTGTTAAGATAACATTACTTGCTGAAACTGTGTTCATCAGACGAAGTTTGAACATTGAGACATATGCAACTAAGATTGTTCAATAAACTCTGTTACTTTTTTTTTTACCATCATCACTTCGTCTCCCGCTTCTGCTCTTCTCTGGCTTTCCTCTGTCAACTTCTTGACTGACAGAAGACTGTTAAACACTCGTTTTGGGTATTTTTGGATTCCAGACAAGACTTGCTGTTAACAGGGTTTGGGTATTAACAGCGCTGCTGACTAGTTGTTCTGTTACAGGACATACTGATATTTTCTGATGGGATCTGGTATCCTGGGGCGGGATCCTAATTATTATCTCATATTTTCTAATATTACTATTATCCTAATTATTATTATTATTATTATGTTGTCCCCTTTAAGAGAACCGGAGCAGTGCCCCATATAGAAAGCATAGACTACAAATATATTTAATATTTATATATATAAATATATATATATTTAAATATAAATTAAATTTATTACGCAACATTCACGTAGGGGACACATTAATATATAAAAACTGGTGTTCAGTATAAAGCAGAAAACTTATGTACACGCTGAAGAAGACTGTTAAACACTCGTTTTGGGTATTTTTGGATTCCAGACAAGACTTGCTGTTAACAGGGTTTGGGTATTAACAGCGCTGCTGACTAGTTGTTCTGTTACAGGACATACTGATATTTTCTGATGGGATCTGGTATCCTGGGGCGGGATCCTAATTATTATCTCATATTTTCTAATATTACTATTATCCTAATTATTATTATTATTATTATGTTGTCCCCTTTAAGAGAACCGGAGCAGTGCCCCATATAGAAAGCATAGACTACAAATATATTTAATATTTATATATATAAATATATATATATTTAAATATAAATTAAATTTATTACGCAACATTCACGTAGGGGACACATTAATATATAAAAACTGGTGTTCAGTATAAAGCAGAAAACTTATGTACACGCTGATATATGTAAAAAGTCACATTTAGGATCTTTTTAGCCAACTCTAAAATCCAGACCGGACGCCTTTTACAGGTCCGAGACGTATGCACACAAGAGGCATGGGCAAATTGTATATTATGTATTTATAAAATATTATATATAATAGTTTAATATTAAATAAATAAAATAATAAATACTCACCCTGACCATCACTTCTTGATGAAGGAGCACTCGATGATGGACCTGCAGATTGTTCAAGAGCTGCAGCCGCCTCTCGCAGCAGCTGCGAAATTGACTTCTCCATTTTTACAGATTTAACTGTACATTACCCGTACATCATCAGCTCATCTAGGGGCTCCTGCCCCTAACCGCAAGACCGCCAAAATGAGGTCGACTGTGAGTGACATCACTTCCCAATACAAACACGCCCAATTAAATAATCCCACCCCTGACACTTGATTGACAGGTTTCCATGTAGACATCGGAAATTCAAATGCAAAAGGAATTGCGATTCCATTTGAGTTTTGGCAGGTTACATGCGCGACGCAGCGAGAGTGAAAAAGCAGACTGGTAATTAATATTGCTATTTAAATATGACAGGCTCGTAACTCCTAAGACATGGGAAATACATTTCCACCAGTCCCAGTGGATTACTGGTACTCATGCATCCTGCGAATTGTTTCAGGCCCAGGGCATGACAGGGGTGGCACGATGGAACTACCAAAGGCTTCTGGACCTTAAGCAGCCAGATGTAGTTCTTCCACCTGTGTTCGATCCATTACTGATAACTGAAATTCTAAATTCTGCTTCAAAGAAAGTGACTGGAAAAGAGAAGTACCCTGTACTTCACCTCTCTGATAGGGACACGGGAGAGAAGTTTGGCCTTGAATACAGTGAGCCAGAGTGCCATCCAGTTCAACTTGATTGGAACAAACATAAGGTGCAAAAGAAAACTGATTCTTCTGTTCTTGTGCCTCTCTCCCCTGGCCCAACACCATCCACAAACCCACCACCCACTGCTGTGCCTGTGTCCCAGTTCCACCAACTTAAACCTGCTGCAATCTATAAGGTACAGATGTTGTCCCAAGGAAGCATGGAACCTCCAGTTAAAATGGGTAAGTTAATACCAATTTCCAAAGCCATCATTTTAAATGTCATTGTAAATGACTTTTTGTTCTTGTCAACATCATCTCAGTAAATGAGTAAAATAACAATTAACTTTTCTCTTCATTCCAGGAACCTCAAATACTCCACCCCTGCCTTCGCAGTCCTCACCAAGGAGTGCCCGCACTGGACCAATCAAGACTGGTGGACGAGTGTTCGTCTTAGACCACAAGCGCTGGACATCACCAATGAAGGAGGCTATCGACGGCCTCCTACACAATTACCATAGACAGAAAGACATGTTGAAGCTTGTGGATCGAGACTATGCAGCTATGGTCCATCGGTCTGCCACAGATCCAAACAGTCTACTTCACCCCACAACCAAATACCATATAACACAGTACATAAAACACCTGGCTAAACAGGTAAACACAAGTTCATCACTGAACACCAGTCCAGAAAAACTTTGGAGACACAAAAACTGTGGCAAAGTTTAACTGAGGAAAGTAAGACTGCCCATGTCCCAGTTGTAGAACTGCCACCAGCCATTGTGAATCCAGCAGATCCAGTCTCACAGCCAGCATCTGAACAGCCACTAACACAGGAGAATGTACAGAAAATAGTAAAGGATATATTGCTACATCAGCAGGAGCAGCAGCAGCAACAAAAACCCAGACAAACGAAAAAATGTCTTGCGTGTGGACAGCCAAAATCCCGCTACCAAAGTAATGGATCATCAATTCATCACTTTTATCAACAAGGGCCTGTTTGATATTATTACTGCTCCACAAAGGTGTTTAAAGCCTATTCTGCGGAGGGACTGACAAATCCTAGAATGGCCTTTGAAGAGTTTGCACAGACTGACTTCTTTCAGCGTGAACTGCAATTAACAAAGCGCAGAGTGGAGGACAAAGCTGAAAAGAAGAGGAAACTCTCGGACCCTCAACCTCAGGGAAGAATGTGCCGTTTCTGTCGCACAGAGTTAAAGCAGGGCCCAAACAGCAAACATATCCACACAGGGTTTCCAGGAGTGGCAGGAAAATACATTTACTGCCCTGCTAAAGTCCTCGACTTATACAAAGACAGAGGCATGACAAAGGAAATAACATGGAAGGAATTTCAAGCCTCATCATTCTATGGCATGGAAAAGGATAGGTGGGCAGCAGAGAGAAAGAAATAGACATTCTGAACGTGTATACATACACTTGATACATTTCATACATTAATCATCCATTGTTTTCATGTTGCATCATTCCGTTGCTCCATTCCTTTCAATTACATAAACATTTTAATTAATCATTGTTTATGTTCTTCACATCCTGTCCTTAACATAACATCCATCCTAGCACATAAGATCTAAATGGAGCATATTCTGGTAAATTGCAACTGTTTGTAAATCGTTTACTGATTAATCGAATTGATTTTGTTGTTATTTTCTTGTGAAGGATCTGTATATCAGAACTGATAGTTATTACTTATATAAACTTGTTTTCACACTTGCTGGTTTTTAGTCCCTATTGTTCAACTTCTGTCCAGTCCCGTCCCGTTGCTTTGCAGCAGCTATAATTTCTTTAGTTATACTTGGGTTGTTTTGTTTTACTTGTTTTAGCACTCTCTAAATTCCACTGAAGGCATATGTTTGAGTTAATTTAATAAAACATTGATTTTAAGTAAAGAACTTTTCATTTGATTTCATCTTCAAACACTAGTCAGCTTATTTTCAATATGAATAAATGGTTAAATAGGTCATTTTTATTCATTTTTTAATGCAACAGAGTATCAGTCTTGATTTATAAATGATTTTTTTGCAGTTTAACATATTATACTGATATTACATACTATAATTTGGGCCTTCCTCTATACAATTGTCTATACAAAAAATTATATACACATTTCAGACTGAACTGACGTAGATTTGAACCTGC